CCCCAGCCCCAGCCGCTGGCTGGAGGCCGCCCTGGGCGAGGAGTCCCTGGGCTCCAACAGCGGGCGCCGGCGCAAACAGTCCACCCTCTCCTCCGAGGCGCGCATGGTGCCGCCGTGAGGGGGCGGCGGGAGGGGCCCCCCGGGGCAGGGCCCCAGGGGGTGGAGGCACAGTTGTCCAATGGCACAGAGCAGGGCATGCTGGGAGCTGTCATCTCCATGGACCGCAGCAGAGCAGTGCATGCTGGGAGCTGTCATCATCTCCATGGACCGCAGCAGAGCAGTGCATGCTGGGAGCTGTCATCATCTCCATGGACCGCAGCAGAGCAGTGCATGCTGGGAGCTGTCATCATCTCCATGGACCGCAGCAGAGCAGTGCATGCTGGGAGCTGTCATCATCTCCATGGACCGCAGCAGAGCAGTGCATGCTGGGAGCTGTCATCATCTCCATGGACCACAGCAGAGCAGTGCATGCTGGGAGCTTATGGGTCACCTCACAGAAGAGCATGCTGGGAGTCTTGCACTCCTTGGCCTCATGGGAGCAATAACAGGCCCCTCCCCTTTCTGGCGCTGCAGGAACTCAGTGGGATTCACTGGCTGCCACCCCACAGAGGCGGCCATGGGGGTTGCCATGGTTACCACCACCTGGGAGCCTGATTTTCAGACATCAGACCAAGGGGCGGGGGTGGAGTGATTCCTGCAGCCAGGTTCGGATATTTGTGTCACACTGAGAACAGCATATCCTTCCACCAATTAACATAGTCCCTGGAAAAACACAGGACTCTGGAAAGCCAGCCCTTGCTATACAGAAGCCAACTACTGTGTATCCTTGCACCACAAAAATAGTCCCTCAAAAAATAGGGTTCAAGCCTGGGTCCTTTTTATACTGGAGCCAGATCTACTTTCAATATGCAGTGTGTCCTTCCGCCAAAAAAACAGTCCCTAAAAAAAAAGAAAGAGAAAAGCTGAACACCGGGCCCTTTCCGTACAGAAGTCTCGTGCTGTGCCTGCATATCGTGTGTGTGTCCTTCCGCCAAACAATAAAGGGTAAAATAGCCCCTTAAAAATCGTGTGCGTATCCTTCCGCCGCCTCAGAAATAATCCTTCCCCAAACGCGTTGAATGAAGTTGCCAAAATGGCTTGGGCTCCTCTGAAAGAGCAAGGGCCGCCGGGTCGGTGTTAGCACTGGGGGGGGGGGGGGGGGGGGGGCCCGGGGCTTCGAAAGTCCCGCCCATTGGCTACACTGTGTCTGGTAATGGGCAGGTTTGGGACTCTGCAAGACCAGTGGCCATCTTGGGTGTTTGTTATGGAGCAAAGACTCATCCACGGCTGCAGCAGTGCATGCTGGGAATTCTTTATCTCACACACACACCCCTTTCATGACCCTCCTTGGCCAGCAGTGCATGCTGGGAACATTTCCATCCTCAGCCAGGCCGCAGCAGTGCATGCGGGGACCTCTCCCCTCCTGGCCAGGCCACAGCAGGGCATGCCGGGAACTCCCCCCTCCTCGGCCAGGCCGCAGCAGCGCATGCCGGGAACTCCCCCCTCCTCGGCCAGGCCGCAGCAGCGCATGCCGGGAACTCCCCCCTCCTCGGCCAGGCCGCAGCAGCGCATGCCGGGAACTCCCCCCTCCTCGGCCAGGCCGCAGCAGCGCATGCCGGGAACTCCCCCCTCCTCGGCCAGGCCGCAGCAGCGCATGCCGGGAACTCCCCCCTCCTCGGCCAGGCCGCAGCAGCGCATGCCGGGAACTCCCCCCTCCTCGGCCAGGCCGCAGCAGCGCATGCCGGGAACTCCCCCCTCCTCGGCCAGGCCGCAGCAGCGCATGCCGGGAACTCCCCCCTCCTCGGCCAGGCCGCAGCAGCGCATGCCGGGAACTCCCCCCTCCTCGGCCAGGCCGCAGCAGCGCATGCCGGGAACTCCCCCCTCCTCGGCCAGGCCGCAGCAGCGCATGCCGGGAACTCCCCCCTCCTCGGCCAGGCCGCAGCAGCGCATGCCGGGAACTCCCCCCTCCTCGGCCAGGCCGCAGCAGCGCATGCCGGGAACTCCCCCCTCCTCGGCCAGGCCGCAGCAGTGCATGCTGGCAGGCCGCAGCAGTGCATGCCGGGAACTCTCCCCTCCTTGGCCAGGCTGCAGCAGTGCATGCCGGGAACTCTCCCCTCCTCGGCCAGGCCGCAGCAGTGCATGCTGGGAACTCTCCCCTCCTGGCCAGGCCACAGCAGTGCATGCCGGGAACTCTCCCCG